CGAAAATAGTTTAGAAAAAATAATTTTTACTGCTTGAAAGCCCATTCAATTCTCTACAAAAACGGTACCACAAGCATTTCATTTGAAGAAACGATTTGGCAAAAAATTAGAGCTTTATAAGCAAACCTAGAAAAAAAGGGTCCTTTTTTGTCAGTGTTACGCGATGATAAAACCTTTCTAGAAGCGCGAGAATTCAGTCGAACTAGGCCATTCTTTCAACATTAATAAATTATGATAAACTGCATCGAATGATGTTTGAACGACCTTATTAGCTCTTATACCTTTCGAGATAATTGCAAAACAATTTATAAAAATATCACAGCATTACGTTTGGACAAGGCGAGATTTATCGAAGAGAGAATAGAAACTTCATTTTCATCACCAGGAAAGATAGATGAAATATCAGCACATGAATCTATGGACGATGATAGCGATGCATAGTTTTATTGAAATAATAAGAACATCAGCAACTACTACAATTGTATTTTAAATATATGTGCACTATTATCACTATTATGATTAATTTATTATTTTCTCTTGTTTTCTTAAAAATTTGATTGGACCTTATACGGCCATCATACAAACACAAATATAACAATCTATTTACCATTCTATAGCACGATCTGGATAGGTTTAGTTTCTTTCACGTTCCCGAGAAGAATAAAATTTCTGTTATTTTCGAGCTAAAGTATATGCAAAATTTGCAGGGCGTGAAGGTATAGCCCTGTCTTGCCCTATGGATACCTCTGGTGGGAAGTATAATAGGTGATCGAATACGACTGAAATCATCTTCATTGCTTATAATATAAGGCTCTCCGTGATTTCTAGTTGTCTACTGTCTATTCATTTACTAAAAATAGAAATATTTCTTTTTATATATGACAGATGTTCAGTACGATTCGCATTCTTATTCAAACCTTTATTCCGAATTTCACACTCGTTGAGCATAAAAAAGGTAAACAGATATACTCAGTATTGAATCTTGTTTTAAAAAAAAGTCAAATTATTGCTTACATTTTATATTTTACTAATATGTAGTACCATTCGGTGAGTGCAAGAATTAATATAATTGGATCACTCGAAAAGTGTTAATGATAACGTTAGAATCTATGCAAGCTGTGCCTCTATTTTTTGAAAGCCACAAAGCAGTATTCATTTCTCTATAAATTACAGATGTGGCATGCCACATAGTTGTCAACTATAGAATTACTTCAACATGCCTAAAGGTATTAAAACATGAAGACGATGTGTTTTCAAAATTCGATAAATATATTTTGCCATTAATATTAAACAATAAAGATTCAATATGGACTTTGGATTTTGAACATAGAGCAGTGTTACTAGTGATTGTGATTATATTGGTTAAGTAACAGCAAAACCGAACATCCTGGTTCGGTGGATTGAATGAAATAGGGACCGAAAATTTCAAGTATTTGATTTCGGAGGGAAAATGCATGAAAAAACTTTTCAATAAACTTTCTTACACAGAAACAATATTTCTATTTTTCAATATTGAAACATGACTTTGTTACTTTTTAGATGCTGTAACACACAAAAGAATGTTCAACATGTATACTCAGTCTAAAATCTACCTCATAATACTACAGAGTTTATCAAAATTTGAAGACCTATGCCTAGTCCTTGACAAGGTATATTTCTATTATCCTATGAAAATATTCTTCAACATAACGAAATTTGTGAAAGCGTTTCAAAGTCGACGAAAATTAGTCGTTATTTAAAGAAAGTAATATTAAATATTTTCAAACTATTGAAACTACATTTTGCTAGTTTAAAATCAAATGAAAATGAAAATAAATACTCTTACAAACTTTAAAAACAGTATGATAAAACTTGTGCCTTAGAAATTACTATTTTGTACTTCTAAATGATAAAAATTACTAAAACTTACTTTGGCTAACCGTAGATATGCACAAAACTAGGTCATAGCACCAAAATAATATTATTATTAGTTACTTTGTTAAAACATATTATTTATAAGTACTTTTTAAAAAGTTTACCAACATCCAAATCATTCAACGATAGCAGCAAGTACTTTAAAGTACTTTTTGAAGGCGAAAAAAATTAATATATAGTACTATGAACAACTTTAGTACTTGAAAGTACTTTGATAAGAATAACAAGTGTAAATAATTACTAGAAAAAGTGAAAAATCAACAGCAAGTACTTTGAAGTACCTTTTGAAAACAACAAAAAATAATATATAGTACTATGAATCAAATTAATACTTTAAAGTACTTTCAAAAGTATAATAAGTGTCAATAAGTACTAGAAAAAAGTGAAAAAATGCTAAAATAGTTACTTTTTATCACTTTTTTTCACCACAAGTACTTATAAGTTCCTTTTCAATACTATTTTTTTTACATGGGCAATTCACAATTTTCACTACAGGTAATGACAAAACCGAATCGGAGTGTTCGTGATTACAGAGAAATGAAGTAGATAAATATAATTGTTATTAGAATATCCTGTGATGGCGGGTGGATAAGCTCAAATAACCCCTACGTTAGCACAGTGAAACAACCATATTTCCGTCTGTTAGGAGATGTCATTTTTTGTGGTAATTGGGAGTACCATGTAGTGACCTGCAGCAGTTGTAGACCTCTTTCATTCTACTTGAAAAGGTTTCGAAACGATTCAGTGCTATTTTTTACCTAGGTCTGACTAATTTCCAGTACGCAATTCATAGTGGACCGCTTTGGCTTCTTAAGCGCCCTCGGCCTTTATAAAATCATAGAAAAAAAATGCTGTCTGTATATTTTTAAGCCTGACAAGATCTTGAATAAACATCATGATTTCGACAACGAAATGTTCAAACTATTTTGCCTTTTTATATTCCACATACAAACTGTTTCCATCAAAATCTCGACGATTATGTGTCAGAGCAACATGGGGCTCGATAAGATTCATTGTGAAAGGACCAGTTGGCAGATTGCGATCGAACAGTAATACATGTCGCCAATGATTTCGAAATCTTTCGACTTTAAACTCGTATCGGTGCATTTCATCGAGAAAACGCTGTACGTCAAAATAGGTGCCCGATGGTAAATGACAATCAATATCGGCGGGTACTAAGTCTGGGACAATTTGAGGAAGTCCTGTTTGTTGATTAAACGTTACCCATGTCCGTGGATTTTGATTTTTCGGACGCTTCATGTGATTTGCTACTATTCTATCACGCACATAACTACCTTGAAGAAGACAATCATAATTGCATACAGCAATCCATGCTACAACGTCCATACGAGATTCGCGACAATTGTCACTGATTGATTGCTTTAAATGGACCCACGTGAGACTGGTATCGGTTATACGATTGATTCTCCTTTTAATATCCGGATCACTACTTGTGAGCAATTGAGGTTTTCCTATCGAGTTCTTTAGCTGCATAGAGTCACATAGAGTCAACCAGTAGACAAAAGACTGAAATTCAGCGTGAATGTTTAGATAATCTTGTTCTCTGCATTGTGCAATTACCTTGCATGATGAAGGTGGCTGTTTCTCCAATTCAATTTTTGCTTGTTTTTCATTATTCCAACGCCATATCATCGGTAAAAATATTGGCAGGTTTCGTAAAACAAAAATCATGTTTTCTTCCAATTTCGGATGTTTCTTTAAATCTTCTGCATTAGGAAATATAAATTCGTTTGTTTTCATTAATTGTTGTCGTAATTTTTGTTCTGCTTCAAGAACATCGCCACCATGACCTTTGATCGAAATCTGACCGTCGTCTGTTGAATACTTTACATTTCCGTTGTTTGGTACTTTTTCTGATGATTGGAATTTCTCCATTTCAGAAGCAGTCACATTCAATCGACGTTCTACTATACCATGAAGCCATTCAGGTTTGAGAATTCCCAAGAAGGATAACACGCAGGTGGTACGTACGGCCGTGGAACAAAGTGTGTCTTTGGCAAATAGAAGTAGTGGACAACTCTCACGGGGAATAGTAGTAGACGTATGAAGTATTGCTGTTTGCATACGTTGATCGATGTGGTTGAGAGAGATGTTATATCGATCATAGTGTCTATTTCTGCCTTGTAGCTCACTAAGTGCTACGTATATATTCTCCCAATATCCATCAAGAAATGATTGTGCTATTACACGCCATTGACCGCAAGATATTTGTGATTCTTTATGCCAGACTTTTCCACGATTGATTGAAGATTGAAGTGATCGTAAACGACATAAAGCTCGACGAAGATGATGTTGAATTTCTGTCATATCACTACTGTTGATACTTGTTTTTTGATCGATTAAGTCATACATAAGTACCAGCAGGGACATATAATCTCCTTCTTCCGGTCGATGATACCGAGTAGGCAGTTTTTGAAAAATAGCTGAGGTGTTTAATGTACTCAATAGAGATGCGACCAATATGACATCTCGACCACATTTATACTTAGTTAGAGCAGCGTAGACTGACGTTGTTAGTGGCAGTGTGCCAAAGTCTGGCAATTGAGCAATTTCTTCACCTTTCTTTGTGAACATTCCACGGCCATTTACAATCCCTAGATGTTTCAATTTTTCATTTGCACGATCGATAATTTCATTGTCTGGTTGATCCGGTAGCCATTGTTTGAAATCGGGTAGACTTTCTTTTATTGGAGGCTTTCGTAAGGAAAAATCCACATCACTCAATTCCGATTGACATATTTGTGGTGTTGGAAAATGAGTACGTTTGGTATTAGATTTGTAAAGAGGAAAATATTCACCTGGCTGCGTTCGTCCTAGTCTGCCTTTTCGTTGTTTCAAAGTGGCTTCAGAAGCAGATAATCCCTCGAGTACCGTCGTATCTCTATGTGGATCATAAATGGATATGTTAATCATGCCTGTATCGATCACATATTTGAGACGGGGAAATGTCAGAGAAGTTTGAGCCACGGTAGTAGAAAAAAAGATTTGTTCATCCGCAACGAGTCTTTGCTGTATAATAGGTGATTGAAATTCTACCAGAGGAAATGCGTCAATGTTCTTGAGTGTTTTGAGTAGAGTAATGGATTGTGTCACGTCTGAATTCGATTTAACAAAACATAAGATTTGTTCATTGTTTGGACACTTTTCTAGTAGACGGTCAATCAAATCAAACATATTGACATTGGAGTTTGGATATGTCTTGATTTCATAACGGAATTTCGATTCAATTTTGAGAGGAAAATAATCGTTGGATTTTGAAAATAGTCGTTCGACGGATTGATCCAATGTGGCTGAGGAGAGAATGATTTTGACTTTGTCTTGAAGATCATACCGGAGAAGGCGAGCAAGCAATGCGAGACAAAGATCAATGTTTATCGAACGTTCATGGACTTCATCGAGGAAAAATATGGTACCTTGTGCGGTGCTGGCTAAATCATGAAGCAATTTATCTTCGCCATATTGTAAGAATTCTTTTAATAGGCCATCAGTAAGATAAACAATAGAAGTAGTCTTATTATTCTTTGAACGTGCACCCGCTACAGCCCAACCACTTATTGGACCTATTGTCGTATTCACTCGAGCGGATATCGAAGTACAAGCAAGTCGACGAGGTTGTGTGACCATGATTTTATCATACCCGGCACCAGCAAGTAAAGCAGGTACGAGTGACGATTTGCCCGAACCAGTTGCTGTAGAAATAGAGACGACGGTATGTTTCTCAATCTTGTCAAGAATATCATTGGAAGACTTAAAAAGGTCAAAACCGAGTTGAGCACACCGACAAAATATTTCCACTCGAAGTAATAAGGATGCGATCAGATCCATCTGTTCTTTTTCGCTGTCTGTGTTGAGCGAATCAGTTGCCAACAATAATCGAAGTTTGTCAAGATGTTGATCTGAATGAACACTAAGAAATTTAGACATTCGATGTAGGATCTTCTTACTAATTATTAAGTCAATACGATTAATTAAAAAACCGTCTAGTTTTATTTTCTGCATATCGGCACGGCTAGCCATCGGTTCCCTTCGTTGGGGAAGATTTAAAATCAGCAAGATACAGAAAAGAATTGTTACAGAGAGTGGGATCTTGAAATATTATTAAGTTTGTCCCGCTTTCAGAGTTACTCAGCTGACATATAAAACCAATATCATTTCTCTTTCTTACGAATTTAAAAACACGAATATCTACGAAATTTCACTATTTTTTCATTTTTTAACCTTTCATTTTTGTCAAAATAATCAGTGAAATTTTGAAAACAAGATGAAAAAGAACTAATCGATTTATATAAAACAATATTCTTAATCGTTACGGAACAAAAAGGTTAGATTACACAGTTAAAATTATCATAAAAATGGCACTAAACTGTCCTCCGTGGAAAAAGAGAAAATTGGTGAAATTCCATAACATTTGAAATTCCGTAACGATCAGCCTTTTAAGTTAGCTTACTCGAAGGGATTGTCCTACGGCGAAATGACATGATATTCTAAGAGTATGTGAAAAACTGAACAACTTTTGTATAGAACGTTTATTTATGAGTAGCTTAGTTTCGTAGAAAAATGCTAAAATCTGAGTCATCCCTAAAAATGGTGTCCATTTTTTGAAATTCCGTCACGAACGATGTTTTTCAAATGATTTCTCTATCGCTTGTGATAACTCCATGAAATTTTCAGTGCTCACAGAGCTAGTTTACCTTTATGTATGCGCAAAATTTCAGAAGCACTTCTCTTGTTATTGAGGAGATATTTATCTCACAAGTTGAAAAAATGAAATTCCCTAACGCTTGGCCGTGCTGATATCCATAATTTTAGGCAGAAAGTCTAACAGCACTTATCCTTTTGATATTTTCATGCCTCATTGGGATCTACGCGAAGCATAAAATCCAAACCCAAAAATGATTTGCGAGTTGGAAATCATTCCTCGTAAGTATTAGATCTTTTCATTATTGACACATCTTTCTTCTGCATCACATCTAACTAGAAAAAGTTCTTGTATTTTAACTTACCTAATACTTTATCCACTTGGGCATCGTCCTTCTCCGGTTTCCACTTTTCTTTCCATTGTTTGACGAATATTCGAAAAGCATTTATTTTCATAGGCTGAAAAGTTCGCTCAATCGAAAGCTCTTGAAAGTAGTCTTTTGCATACTGATTTAGTTGACTATACCAGTCGTGTTCATCCTTGATGCCGCCTTTTTTCACTAAAGAATGACATTTGTAACTGACAGCTCTATTGAATTGTTCTTTTGCTTCGTTTTCCTTATCTTGCAGTAACTTTTGCAGAATTTTGAAATAGATTTCATCTCGCTGTGTTTTCGTAGTTCTGTATTTCGAAATGTTTGTTAAAAACTTGTCAGTAGCGAATTCAATGTCGTGAGCAAAAATCTCTTGTTGATGAACAGTACAATGGACTAGAACGTTTAGACGTTTCACGATATTTGTCATTTCTCCATGATGCATCTTGTGTCCATCTAATCGCCAACGTGGTGGAGTGTTCTGGATGACACCAATCTCAATTGGTTCATCACCTCGTATTTCATTCAGATGGTCATAAACGTCTCGAGGTTTTGCTGAAACAAGATCTGTACGCGATGGTAAATCATATTCACTTGAGAATGTTTTTGTCTGAATTGCTCTATCTTCCTTTGCAGTTGTGTTTGTATTGTCTCTTAGCTGACTGAATGATGGTGTTTTGAAAGAACCTGGTTTACGTTGTGGAATAGGAGATGTTCTTTCATCTTGCAACGAGTCTTGTTGAAAACTCGATGAATCCTCCTCCTCTTCTACTTCGGTATCCAAATCTTTTAATAATTCACTCCAACGGTCATCATTATTAGCTGTTGCCATTCTTGTAATAATACAGACTATGTTGATTGTGGTGGAGCTCCTTTTTTTTCTGCCTGCTTTTATATATTCTCTTTCCTTCCTCCTTTATCGCTAAGGGGAGGACGCACAATGTGAGTAATAGTGGGAAAGAAGGCGAAACTTGTTTTCAACGGCGTTATGATTGTATGTAATAATGACATAAGAATCTGTTTCCACCATGGTAAAGTTTTTTGTTTCTACCGTTAAAAAACAATGGGTTAAGGCCCCACCCCCTAAAAAAAAGTCGATTTTTGTCAAAAAATCGAAAATTGAGATAACACCATGGGGAGATAGCCCATGTTCTCCTCTTTCAGAATCACTATAGTTTTTTTTCCAAAGACCATTTTTTGACCGAAATTTGTAGTGATCTTTGAGAGGTCGTCTATGTCAAAAACAGCACACTGAAAAAAAAAAAGGTACCACACGAAACCTTTGAGGTTTCGTCGAGTTTTACTATACTATATAAGTATCCGTAGAATAATGCGAAACCTGCATGAGGTTTCGCGATGTCCAAGGTTTCGTAAAAGACTTTAAAGAGTTTTAAAATATAAAAAGGTTTCGTCCGGAACCCTTCGAATTTTACGTTGCCACAGAGGTTTGGCCAAAAGCTCTTTTGAGTTTCGTACTCAGAAGGGTTTCGTAATATACCTTCTGTAGCATTCGTTCATCAGAAAATTACTATTCAAAATAATAATTTCTTCCTCCTAGAGTTCAGAATTTTCGAAGAAGCACATTCACACTCATCGAGCGACTTCGTTTCGGAGTTTTTTTCCAATTTATCCAAGCTTGTCCCACT